TATAGAATTATATTTTAAACAGCATTCAAGTTTACCTTCTGGATGGAGCTGCGGGTTTTTTGGCAGAACGCAGCATTGCAGGTATGGACAATGCGAGAATAATCTTCCCGTACTGCCAGTAGGAGAGGGATTGTTATAGCAGACTCTGTGACAAGAGCCTTTCTGATAGGCCAGAAGACATTATTCATAGAGGGTCCTTGTACCTGTGTCAAAACAGACAGAGCATTACCAACCAAGCATGTCCTACTGCAGAAGGCATTAAAACTCGTAGCCTGTTCTTTCCACTGCAAGAAGACACAGAAAGATGGCAGGACTCAGACACGGAGCATGAAAATGCATTATCCGGAATTCAAAAAAGGTGACGATATGCTATGTTATAGGGAACATCTAGTGTTCACCATCATGTGTTATTGTGCTTTAATAGTACTCTGAAAAAAAAATGTAGTTTGCTTTAAAAACTGCTGAAAAATACCAGAGCACTATTCCATGTGTTCAGCCTCATAGCTGTACAACTGCAGTGAGAGATTCAAAGCACTGCAGCCACTGACTGCTACTCTGAGGAGATTTGGAGTGAGAATTGCCAATTTCACTACAGTGCTGGTTAAAGATGCACCGAAATGTTGTCCGAAAATGGTACTTTGGGCAAAATCCGGACAGTACCATAGTGGACGAAAATGCAGTGCATCTCTAGCTTCTTTCCCCCCACCGGAGCGCCGGTCTGTGTCCCCTCTGATGTCCGCTGCTCTCCCCCACATGTGTCGGCAGAGGCGAGGAGAGAAGAGAAGCCGAGATTTGACAGCCGTCTCCTCCATGCCCTGCTCCACAGGAGGCCAAGCAGGGTGGTGCAGATGGAGCGCTTGGCCTCCTGCGACAGCCGTCTCCTCCCTGCCCCGCTCCACATCTCGGCTTCTCTCCTCCCCACTGGGTGACAGGCGAGTCAGGATGCCAAGCAGAGCTGTGCGGCAGGAGAGTGCCGTCAGCTGTCACAGGAGGCGGAGCTCTCCTCCCGCACGACCTCGCTTGGCATCCTGTTAGTTCATAACAGGGGCTGCAGAAAAAGATTTAGCACTCGTAGCCTAAATCTTTTTTATTTTACAAGGAAAATATCAGGGGTTTGTTTAGAGCCCTGATATTTCCCCAAGGCCCCCCCCCCCCAACAGTAAAGAAAAAAAATATAAAAACATTTTTTTTAAATGGTTAAGAAAAATAAAATCGATATTCAAATAAATACATTTTGGTTTCAGCCTGGACAATTGTTTTATTTTTGGTCTAAAAAGTCAATGTCGGTACATCCCTAGTGCTAGTCACTGTTCTTGCTGGATGCTCTGACAAGAGGAAGGAAAACCCTGCCTCTACCAAGATGGCTGCCACCACAAAGACAAAACGAGCCATGGTAATTCAGCAATAGGGGAATATCAGTTGCAGAGAGACCACATAAAAAAAAAACTGGAGACTAGTCCTTTGCCCTCTGCCTGTCTTTTTTGGGCCGCAGCTTCCAGCTTTTTTATTGTTTGCCGTGCTGCTGAATGCCACTTTGTTGATGAGAAATTGATTAACGCCTATAGGAGGTGCTTTCAGCAGACTTCATGTAAAAATTCCTGATCAGCGCAGCATCTTTCTGTGGCACAGGCAGTAGGAGAGGCAAGTATTTATTTTAATCTGAAGATCAGAGACAGGTTTACTTTAAAATACAAGCATAAGCTGAACAGATGTGACTTGATGTGATGACCTCTGACCTTTGCTCTCTCAGACCAGTGGAAAGATTGCACAGTGACATCAAATCTTGTGACCAGCATCCTCATTCTACACTCATACTCTCTGAGCATAGAGCAGTGTATCCCTTGCAGTATCTCCTGCGGAAAGAGTAGAATTGTGTCACTGAACCACATTCACCTGTAATAGGCGAGAAGTATGCACCATGCAGGAAAAATGGCAGTTGCTCAATCAAATGAATAACTAGTATGGACATTGAGCAGTGGTTGGTTTAGAAAGTAAAATTTCATTCATTAATTCCTGGGCACTTGGTACTTCTCGCCAGCAAAGAGTGCCAATCTAATCTGTTTCTAATTTAGATTTGCAGATACAAATGTGGGAAATGCACGCAGAGTCTTTAGGACACACAGACAAGAGAGCACAAAGTGAACAAGTCAACTGCCATGCACTGTGTTGGGGAAAGATCATGCACACCAGGGGTGAGAGAGAGAGCCAGGAGAGACAGGCAGGAAAGAGAGAGAGAGGAGAGACAGCCAGGTGGATGAGCAAGGAGAGACAGCCAGGTGGATGAGCAAGGAGAAACAGCCAGGAGAGCGCGAAGAGAGAGAGCAAGGGAGGTTTTTTTTCCATTGGTAGATCTCATGTAGCTCGTCATTTGAAAAGTAGATCTTAAAAACACAAACATTGTGGGCCCCCCGGGTAGATGCACTTTCCATTAGGTTAATATAAACCCTACTTAGCAACACCAACTACATCCTTGCAGGTTACAGTGACAGAATTGTCAGGGTCATTTGAGCCCCTGATTTCCACCAATAAAGCATTGGGAAAGGTAGTAGTAGAGACAGAAGCTCTGCTCTGTACTGCAGAAGAGTCCTTACACTTACAGTATGAAGTTAAGCAAGACTGCCCAACAAAAAAGGGTTGCAAACTGCAAATACTGGAGCTGAAAATTGTATTAGAGAAAAATACCATTTGCCTTCTCCTTACCCATTGTTCTGGTCGTAACTCTGTTTTCAACAAAGGAGGAGACAAAGGTACAACTGAAGACAGTGCGGTTATCTAAAAAGGATAAAGAAATTTATCAAAAACAACCTTTAGGAGGAAAAAAAATTAGGGTGTTCTATTGCCGGTTAGAAAATGCAAGCCACTACCTGACCAGATCTGTGAATAACATCCCCTGGCCATCCCCATCTCCTGTTTGTATGCTTAGGATAGTTTTACTTTTTCAAAAAAATCCAGTGCTCATCATAGTAGCTATTTAGATGCTAGCTGACTTTTTTTTTTTTTTTTAAACATAGCTTTAGAAGTGTAATCCTTCCATCACTTTGGTAAAGTTGACCCGTTTCATTAAAACCTATAAAACACAGCAGGGGGTTATTAATAAAAAGCAGCCTCAGAGAAAAGAACATGGTTTTACATCTTATTCAGATGAGCTCTACAAAGTTGGATTGACTGCTCTAGCCCATGCCATCTCCTGCCATCCTGGATGCACAGCTGTCCATGTGGTATTGTCATTCCCCGAGGCCTGCTTTATCGAAGCCAGGGATATTCCACTACTTGCATAGACATGGGCTATCATACCTCAAACACCTCTGTGCAAATTGGATAAATGGCTCCGTGTTAGATTGAGGTTGAGCTATAAATCAGAGGCTCCAGACTTGCAGCTGGCCATGGAGCCAGGAGGCTGAGCTATAAAGCTGAGGCACAAGGCTCATAGATGGCAATGGAGCCATAAGGGTGAGTTATAAAGTAGAGGCTATAGGCTCTTAGCCTGCTATGGAGCCAGGAGGCTGAGCTATAAAGCTGAGGCACTAGACTCATAGTTGGCCATGGAGCCATAAAAAGAACCATTTGCATGGTTCTGATCATTATTCAATGACTGCAAACCTGTTGAAAGGTTACTGTGTTTTACTCATTATACAAGTACCTTGTCCTCCAGCTTCTTAATGAAATGAGCCACTGGGACTTCTGGGGAAATCTCGGGTAACTCTAAACCTTTTCTGATCAGCTGAAGCTCACATAGGATATCTTTTTGTTGATCTGTAGGCTCAGAATTGGGAACTGTGCGGAGATTTAGGATTCTTGCGGCTTCCAGCTCTGTGCCTAGAAAAACTGATGAAAAATGAGAGAAAAAAAAAAAAAGGGGAGTTTACATCTTCAAAACACAAATCACAGCTTTATTATACGAGTCTCATAATTGCAACTCACCAGCCAAAAATTTATTTTCGGGATAGAGAGTAGGGAAGGATTAGAACCTCTGTCAGGTTTGTGATGCATTTGCATTTTCACTGGGTAGATTCACCCTCTGAGTCCAAATGACACGTCACCAGAACAAAAAGCAATGGAAATCCCAAAGTTTACAATTGTCACTAGAACAGGAATAGTGAGGAAAATCGTACAATGGTGACACTTGTTCTGGTGACAACTGGGAAAGATGGCAATCCCCCCTCAGCTTGCAGATAGCTGTGTAAAAAAGTAAGTAGACCCCATGGAAATTGTTGACTCTTTCAACATACAGTGGTACCTTGGTTCATGAACGCTTCTGTTCGCGAACAATTCGGTTCGTGAACAGGAAGTACGGCAAAATTTTTCTTCCGTTCGTGAACTCCACATGGGGTGACGAACACAACCGCAGCCATCTCCCCTGCTCTGACACTGGTCGTGGCTCCCTATAGTCGAGATCGCGGTCTGATCACAATTTGATTCGGTTGGCGACCAAAATCGTGGAACGAATTAAGTTCGTGAACCGAGGTACCACTGTATTTGATCAGGAAAACATTAGATTAATATCATTCAAACACTGCCTACAGATAAAATGAATATACTTGGGCAAATTAAACAAATTTCTCAGTGTATTTATTAAGCATGCACCGATACTTGCATTGGTATCGGTGCCGATACCGAGTGTTTGGGAAAATGCTCCGATACCCGAACTTCCGGTCAGAGGAAGATTTCGTCTGACTGCAGAGTAGGGGGGAACATGGAGCCAGCTCCGTGCAATCAGGAAGCTGGGCGGACAGCAATGACCTGCCTCCCAGCTTCCTGATTGGCTGGGAAGCCGGCCTGATGCCGATTGGCCGGGAAACCTGCTTCCCAGCCAATCAAGCAGGTTAGACAACACGGAGCCAGCTTCTCGCGCAATCAGAATGCCTGGAAAGCCGGCTCCATGCCAGCGAAAGCACCGGTATCAAAAAAAACGCTATCAGTGCATCTCTAGTATTTATTCTCCTATTTAAAATGAACAAAAATGCAGATTTGTCTGGTGCAAAAAGCAAGTACCTCCCAACATTTACTACCACTTCAAAATGGTGCCAATGCCTCCTTAGGTAGTATGTACTGTACCGCAAATATCCAGGGTTCAGAGTTCTATTTACTATTGATCAAGATCAAAAGAGCTCTCAAGGCCCTTAGAAAAAAGGTTGGGGATGCGACCAGTCTGGCAAGGGATTTAAATAGACCACAAAATGATTTCAAATCGATCATCCCACGGTAATGAAAATATTCTATATTTGGTACAGATTTCAAATGACTGCTCATTTGTCCTGGAATGGCTGGCCCAACAAACTCAGTCCAAGAGATCAAAATAAATTGAGCAAAAGGTGTATACACATGCACATGCTGCCTGCATGTACTCACTAAGTGAGCATAAGTGCTTCTTCGCAAAGCATATTACACCTAACATGGCTTAATCTGTCACTGTTGCCTTGTGTACAGGGATCTTAGCAAGATAAAGATGACAGCAAGGAGATAAAAACATCATGCCTGACTACTTTATAGGATGGGAAAGGACACGAATTAGCAATAATTCTCATCACTGGAACAGAAAGTAAGAGGAAACCTAACATTTTACAGTCATCACCAAAGAGGAAATATTTTGCAATGGAGACACTTGTTCTGCTGACATCAAAAATTGGTATTTCTACATTATTGGGGAGATTTGCATTCACTTCCTGATGTGTCTTTGGGACAGAAGTGAAGGGAATTTTTTTTTTATTTAGAAAGACAAAACCAGACAGAGTTCTAATCGTTTCTTACCCCATCCAAGAATTGTGGCTGCAGTTCTACTCTAAGTCAAACAGAACCATCTTTGAAATGACAAAACACATTCTATTATTAGACATCCTTACCAAGAAGTTGCAGGCAATTTAAGGGGCTGTATAGTCTGGAGGTAACTTTTCCAGTAGTCAAGGATATGTATGGACAGTGAAGTTCGCTCAACACACCGCTCATTTCCAGTTGAAATGTCTCTGCATCAGCCGGGCCTGGGAAGGTAATGGACTGTATTAGAGAGAGAAGAAAACAAGAATACCCTGTGATTTATCAGTCTCACGCTAAGAACCCACATACATGTGTGTCACAAATAACTCCAAGGAAAAAAAAAAACTTTAGGTTGGTTCCTTCAAAAAAAAAAAAGTTATGCCATTATTGTTTCACCTAGTACAATAATCTGAAAATGTATCTTATACATCTCCACTATTAAAAATAGTTTATTCTGATTTTCACGTGCACATTTATACTCTAAGCTCTCACAGGCAGGGCCCTCCAAACCAAATTGACTTGTATTGTAACTGTAATTTCTTCCTTATATTGTAAAGTGCAGGCCAACTGTTGGCGCTATAAATAATAATTTAAAAAGATTTACATGAAAACAAGCTGCCCAAGAAAAGTGACAATGAACAAGTTACGTGTTGGAGTGCTGGATCCCAGGATAGGCAAATAACAAAAACAAGGGTTAACTTCTAGAGGCAGCTCTCTGTCAACTTGGGTGTCCCAAAAGGTCCCTGAAGTGGTCTGATGTACATTCAAAGAGGATAAGACTTAAATTAAAGTTAGACTTAAATGAGTCCAGTCAGATTACACCCCCGCCCCCCCCGAACAAATGTTCAACAAGCCTTTGGAATGTTCCTCAGCATCCTCACATCTATACACTGTGCATAGAATGTAATGACTTACAAGACCTCAGATCTCTGGAGCAGAGGGGGGGGGGGCG